ATCCAATAGATATTGTTTACCTTGACTTCCAGAAAGCTTTTGATAAAGTTCCTCATCAAAAGCTCCTAAGTAAGCTCAATAGTCACGGGATAAAAGGACAAGTCCTTTTATGGATCAAAAATTGGCTAATTAATAGGAAACAGAGAGTGAGTATAAATGGGCAATTTTCTCAGTGGAGGGGGGTAAGCAGTGGGGTACCACAGGGATCAGTATTTGGTCCACTGCTTTTTAACTTGTTCATTAATGATTTGGAGTTGGGAGCAAACAGTGAAGTGGCTAAATCTGCGGATGATACGAAGTTGTTCAGGGTGGTGAAAACCAATGAGGATTGTCAAGGATGGGCAAGTGGGCGTCAACATGGCAAATGGGGTTCAATGTGGCCAAGTGCAAGGTGATGCACATTGGACCCAAAAATCCTAACTGGCAGAGACTGAACAAGAGAGAGATCTTGGAGTCGTAGTAGACAACTCACTGAAAATGTCGAGACTGTGTGTGACTGCAATAAAAAAGGCTAATGCTATGCTGGGGATTATTAGGAAGGGTATTGAAAACAGATCAGGCAATATCATAATGGCCCTCTATAAATCAATGGTGCGACCTCATTTGGAATACTGTGTGCAGTTCTGGCCACCACACCTTAAAAAGGATATTAGAGCTTTGGAAAAAGTACAGAAAAGGGCAACTCGAATTATAAAAGGGTTGGAACACATTCCCTATGAAGAAACGTTAAAGCCCCTAGGGCTCTTTAGCTTAGAGGGATGACATGATTGAGGTTTATAAGATTATGCTTGGGATAGAGCAGGTAGAGAAAGAGGTACTTTTCTCCTTTCTCACAATACAAGAACTCCTGGGCACTCCATGAAATTGCTGAGTGGTTGGGTTAGAACGGATAAAAGGAAGTCCTTCTTCACCCAAAGAGTGATTAACACATGGAATTCACTGCCACAGGAAGTGGCGGCGGCTACAAGCATGGACGGCTTCAAAAGGGAATTAGATAAGCATATGGAGCAGAGGTCCAACAGTGGCTATTAGCCACAAGGTATAGATAGGGACTCTGGGGCAAGTGATGCTCTGTCTTCTTGGTGCTTGAGGGGTGGTCAACAGTGGGAGGGTTTTACAGTAATCGTGATGCCTGTTAAAGGTGATTAGATTTTATTGCAATGTGTACATAGTCACATTGTTTCATGCCTTCCATCTACACTGGATAGTCACCAGTTTGCATATAAGGCAAACAGATCCACTGAGGATGCCATCACTACCACTCTCCATACTGCTCTGTCACATCTGGAGCAGTCGGGAAGTTATGTGAGGCTGTTGTTTGTGGATTTTAGTTCTGCCTTTAATACCATCCTCCCATATAGATTAGTGTCCAAATTGGAGGGCCTTGGACTCTTCAGCTCCATATGCCTCTGGATTGTGAACTTCTTGACAGCCCGCCCCCAGAGGGTTAGAGTAGGGTCCTACATGTCCACAGCCCTTATCCTTAATACCGGTTCTCCACAAGGCTGTGTGTTGAGCCCCCTGCTCTATCCCCTCTACACACAGGACTGTATCTCCACCCACCCCAGTAACACCATCATCAAGTTTGCTGATGACACCACTGTGGTGGGGCTCATCTCTGGGAATGATGAGTCTGCTTATTGGGACGAGGTGGAATGGGTAGGGAAAATACTTTGATCCTCAACACCACCAAGACCAAGGAATTGGTAGTGGACTATAGGAGGAATAAAACGGACATTCAGCCACTGGTTATTGGAGGAGAACGTGTGGAGAGGGTGGCTACTTTTAAGTATTTGGGAGTGACTATTGAGCAAAACTTGACCTGGAGCGCTAACACCATGGCTCTGGTGAAGAAGGCCCAGCAGAGGTCTTTTTTCTCAGACCTTTAAAGAAAAATAATTTGAGTAAGAAAACATTGATGTCCTTCTATCGCTGCTCAATAGAGAGCATTTTAACATACTGCGTCTGTGCCTGGTTTGCCAGTTGTACGGCTGTGGATAGGAAAGCACTCCAGAGAGTTATCATCACAGCCCAGAAGATCATTGGCTGCCCCCTCCCATTCCTGGAGGAATTGTATAGTTCTCGATGTTTGAAAAAAGCAAAGAATATTCTGCAGGATTTGTCACACCCTGGACATTCCCTGTTTGAACTGCTGCCTTCGGGCAGAAGATATAGGACAATTAAAACAAGGACAAACAGATTAAAAAATAGTTTTTATTCGAGAGCTGGCATTAAAGTTGAGAGCGAGCAATTTGGCTACTGCATAAATTAGTTTGCTCTGGAGCCATCTCTCCTGAGCCAAGACAAAGATCTGTGAGCTGGAGGGTAAGAAACTGTGAGCTAGCTCACACTAACTCAGCTTAGAGGGAACACCACTAAACCCTGTAATCGTCTGAATCCGGCTTCACTCTGACCACTTCCAGAGTCAGCGGAGGGAGAGGAGCCCTTAGAGCATGATTATGGCCTGGAAACCATGGACTTTCACACCTGGAGCAGGACTGATCTTTTAGAGACTCCGCTCCAAAATCCAGACCTGGACTTATTTGGGGATGGGAGCAGCGTTATGCAAGAGGGGCCCTGGCATACAGGTTATGTAGTGACCGTGGAATCTGAAGACCCGGAAACAAGGGCCTCTCCCTTGCGCCCGGTCTGCTCAAGCAGCAAAGCTGTACGTCCTCGGCTGGGCCCTTGAGAGGGGTAGAAGGAAAGGGCCTCACCATCTACACCGGCTCCAAGCATGCCTTTGGTGTGGTACACCCCTTTGCCGCCCTTTGGAAAGATCAAGGTTTTCTGATGGCAGCAGGGAAGAAGATCTCCAATTAAGATCTGATCTTGCAACTGTTAGAGCACATCCAGCTCCCTGCAACTGTTGCAGTAATTCATATCCGAGGACATCAGAAAGGAGGGACTCCAGAAGCAAAAGGAAATTGGGCAGATGCAGCGGCAAAAGCTGGAGCTCAAGAGACTACAACGAAAACCTCCAATGGAGCTGATGGGCAGTAGGTTCAAGACGGACAAAAGGAAATACTGGTTTATACAGAGTGATTAAAATGTGGAATTTGCTACCAGAGGATTTACTGCTGGCCACAGGGATGAACTGTTTTAGAATCATAGAATGTTAGAGTTGGAAGGTACCTTGCAGGTCATCTAGTCCAACCCCCTGCACTCTGCAGGAACATAGCCGAAAAATAGCCCTGCAACAACCCATGAATCCATCCAACGGTTGCCCACACATTTCCCGGATCCGTCTTTTTTCCCTTCTTGAAGATCGGGACATTAGCTCTTCTCCAGTCTTCCGGCACAACACCAGTACTTCAGGACATCTCAAAGATTAAAGCCAGAGGCTCTGAAATAACATCTACAATTTCTTTTAGGACCCTGGGATGCAAGCCATCCGGCCCTGGAGATTTGAAAGTATTTAAGGCAGCTAGATGCTCTCTAACAATTTCCTTACTTACTCTGGACTGGCAGTTCCTCCTTCCTTCATATGCCCTGCATTCTTCAGTTCTAAAAGGGGATTAGGTAGATTCATGGAGAATAAGTCTATGAATGGCCATGGTGACTATGGGGAACCTCCACATTCAGAGGCACTAAATTTCTGAACCCCAGAGCCAGGAGGCAGCCTCAGGGGAAGGCCTCGCCCTCTATGCACGGCTTGGCCACTTTGAAAGACAGGATGCTGGACTAGATGGACTACTGGTCTGATCCAGCAGGGCTCCCGTACATTCTTTCCTGGCATGGAGAATCGTGGTTTGACAATCACTCCAGCAACCCACAGTGTATGAACGGGTTCAAAGGACAGCCTTCGAGGCCCATCTGGTGCAGGGGAACGGTCACATTTCTATCCCAGCCTTCTTCCAAGCAGCTCAGATTGGTGGACTATATATATATATGGAATCAAAGCCCTGACCTGGATATAGCCCAGGCAAGCCCAGTCTCGTCGGATGTTGGAAGCTAAGCAGGGCCGAACCTGGCAAGTATTTGGATTGGAGACCTCCAAAGAATACCAGGGCCGGGAGGCCAGAGGCCGCCTGTATCCAGCCACTTCTCTGAATGTCCTCCGTCCCCAGTTAAGTTGCCAGAGGTCACCATGACGTCCAGGCACAGGGGCACAAAGGCACACAAACACAGATGCCAACCCCCAAAAAAGGAATTAAAGGGGGTGCAGATGAAAAAAGGGAACTGGGGTATAAAAGCATTAAACATATGAAAATATTCACATTTATCAAGGACATTCATATTTTGTATAATGCATAATTCAAAAATAAAATGGTCCATAATGCTTCATTTCTCAACTCCGTTGTTATAATTTTTAACATGAACATTATGATCACTACTACATAAGCAAGAATAAAATAAAGTTTGAGTCTATTCCACCTTGAATATAAGGAGATTATAGTGCATTAGAATTGATAACAAAACAATCCTCAACTATTAGTTAATCTCAATTAAGTAGTGACTTACATCAGAGGGGAAAATATGTCAATATTAGTGAAATGATGTATTTTTAGATAAAAAAAGAAAAAAGTTAAATATCTACTAGAATTGAATATATTCTCTCACACTTCCCAACTTGTTTAACTATCTCTAATGAGTCTCATTTAACCATAACATCTTCAGTAAATTATATCTTTTCTCCTCAGTCTCTACCCATTATATGAGTAGAAAGCCTTCCTTTGCTGTTGAAATTCTTTAGTTGGTTTTTTATTTACTTGGCTGGTTAGTTTTGCCATTACAGCATATTCTGCTAATTTGTCTCTCCAAATCTCTTGATTAGGACTCTCTTCTATTTTCAGTTGTGTTACTAATATTACTCTAGCTGCAGTAAGCATGTATTTAAACAAGACTTTTGAGATTTTTTTCAATGTTGCCCATAATTATTCCCGATAACAGTCTTTGATTTCATAGGGAATTTAATTCTTAAGATTGTTTGAATTTCTGCATGGATTTCTTTCCAGTATCTCCTCGTCTTTTTGCAAGATATATGGTAAAAAGTATCATCTACTTATTTACATTTCCAACAAATCCCTTTGTTGTTCTTATCCACCTTTTCAGTGTCTTTGGGGGTTAATGTACCAATGATAAAACATCTCATACCAATTTTCTCTTAATGCTTGACAAGCTGTGAACTTTATATCTTTCGTCCATAAATTTTCCCATTGTTGAAAAGATAGCTCTTCGCCAAAATTCTACATCCATTTTATCATACACTGACTTGTTCTGTCTCTGTATCAAATTGAAGTAATAATTTATAAATTCATCCTAGTAGGTGATCTTTTTGTTGTATAATTATCTTTTCAAAGTCAGCCAGATCTCTTATTTCACCTTTTTCTGAGTAAACATCTTTCTTAAATCTGTAAATTAGTTGAAAATAGACTAGTCATTGTATCTTCCCTTCTTCTTTGATGACTGGCCAGGATTTGATTTCTACTTGTGACATTATCATATCTTTATAGATTATGAAGTCAATATTTTTTCCTCTCATATCTATTATTGGTGACATTACAGGTGATATTATAGGGCCAATTCTTCTTCTAGTGTCCCACTTATTGATTATATGACTTTTATCTTATCTTTTATTTTTCCAAATTTGCTTCTTAATCCAAAGGGAACTGTGCAATCCGTCATCCAGAAACAATGCTTATAGTTCTATTAATGTATCATTTCGATTTTTTCCCTTATTCATTCTACTCTTCCCTTTCCTCTCCTTTGCTGCTTCCTGTCCTTGGTGATTTTGATCCAATCTGCAATCCAAACCAAACCACTGCTTGGTAGTACAGTTTATTTCTTAGGTACTACTAAGCCTCCTCTTTTTTTCTCATCCTGTAATACTTAAATCTAATTGTTGGGTTTTTCCATTCCATATAAATGTATTTATTGGTTTCTGGCCAGTCCACCAAAGTCTTTTCTTGTAGACTGATCAGTATCATCTGAAACAGAAAATTTAATTTTGGCAATACCTTCATTTTTATTGAAGAGATTCTTCCCAGCCATGATCAGTTGTGGATCTTCGTTCTCACTTCTGCCTGACCAAATAAGCTTTGACCTATGAAAGTTTCTATCTTGGGAAATTTCCTTCAACTTTCAGGTGCTATCTCCCCACCTTTCTGTTTCCTTTGGGAAGTCCTTTTGCCTTGTTACGGTGGCAAGAATGGAGCTGGGACTACATGGAAAAAAATGGGGACACGTGGCCTTCCTCCACTCCACTGGGCCACAGCTCTAAACATTCAGTTTTTCTCCCCAGTGTGGATTTTTCGATGCCGTTGAAGAGTACCACTCTGATTGAATCTCTTTCCACACTGTGAGCATGCAAAAGGTTTCTCCCCTGTGTGGGTTCTTTGATGCTGTTGTAGAATTCTCCTAGTACTGAATTTCTTTCCACACTCTGAGCATTCATACGGTTTCTCGCCCGTGTGGGATCTTTGATGCTCTTGAAGATCACGTCTCTGATTGAATTTCTTTCCACACGCTGAACATTCAAGAGGTTTCTCCCCTGTGTGGGTTCTTTGATGGAGCTGAAGATTGCAGCTCCTATTAAATCTCTTTCCACAGTCTGAGCATTCAAAAGGTTTCTCCCCTGTGTGGGTTCTTTGGTGCTGCTGAAGAATGCTACTCTGACTGAATCTCTTTCCACACTCTGAACATTCAAAAGGTTTCTCTCCTGTGTGGATTCTTTGATGTTGTTGAAGATCGCCACTGTGAATGAATCTCTTTCCACACTCTGAGCATTCAAGAAGTTTCTCCACTGTGTGGGTTCTTTGATGGACTTGAAGATTGCTACTCTGATTAAATCTCTTTCCACACACTGAGCATTCAAAAGGTTTCTCCCCTGTGTGGGTTCTTTGATGCTGTTGAAGACTGCCACTCCGACTGAATCTCTTTCCACACTCTAAACATTCAAAAGGCTTCTCCCCTGTGTGGGTTCTTTGATGCTGTTGAAGACTGCCACTCCGACTGAATCTCTTTCCACACTCTGAGCATTCATAAGGTTTTTCCCCTGTATGGGTTCTTTGATGGAGTGAAAGATCGCCAATCCGACTGAATCTCTTTCCACACTCTGAGCATTCAAAAGGTTTCTCCCCTGTGTGGGTTCTTTGATGCTGTTGAAGATCGCAAATCCGACTGAATCTCTTTCCACACTCTGAGCAATCAAAAGGTTTCTCCCCTGTGTGGGTTCTCTGATGCTGTTGAAGACTGCCACTCCGACTGAATCTCTTTCCACACTCTGAGCATTCATACGGTTTCTCCCCGGTGTGGGTTTTTTGATGGAGTTGAAGATTGCCACTCTGACTGAATCTCTGTCCACACTCTGAGCATTCATAAGGTTTCTCCCCTGTGTGGGTTCTTTGATGAAGTTGAAGAGCGCTACTCCGACTGAATCTCTTTCCACACTCTGAGCATTCAAAAAGTTTTTCCCCAGTGTGGATTCTTTGGTGTAATAGTAGCTGTGTTGTGTATTTGAAGTACTTTCCACAGTACCAGCATTTACATGTCTTTATTATACTGTGGTTTCGTAAACAAACATTATCCTTTCTTCCACTGGAAGATGTCAGTCCACTCTCGGAGCAGATAAATCCCTTCCCTTCTGAATGAGTCCATTGGAGATGGCTGCAGACTGGGATTTGGTGAGGAATGGATTTAACCCACGTCTTCACTGTATGGTTTCCTTCCTGCCTCTGTGGTCCAGCTCCATTCCCAAAGTTTTCTTCGGACGGTTCATTCTGGGCTTTTTCCAGTGAGAAGCCCTGAAATTCCCCAATAGGCTCCTCGACATCTCCTGCTGGAATAAAGAGGGAAGTCAAATCAACACTCAGACAAGAAGCCAAGCCACCAATCAGGAACTCCTGATTAATGACTGTACATTTTATCTCCTGAGCCGCTGGGCACAACGTTTCCCTGGAGCTTGTTCTATATTCTGACTATCCCTCCCCTCCCCAAAACTCCCCAAACGTGCCACAAAGGTGGCAAAGATCTGTTCCTCTGCCCTTCACATTTGCTTTGCCAAGAAGGTCTTTTGATGATGAAATACAAAAATTGGTGATGAAACACAAAGATTGACCATAATTTCTAGCCCTGTGACTGTATAGAGAATTTCCTTCCAGGTGTGATGAGACAGAAGAGGAGCTGGTCTTCAGAGTCCAATAACACATGTCTGCTGGGCTAGGTCAGGACCTCAGCAAGCGAACCCCACTGCCACATGAGGTGGTGGCGGCTACAAGCATGGACGGCTTAAAGAGGGAACGAGATAAGCATATGGAGCAGAGGTCCATCGGTGGCTATTAGCTACAAGGTATTCACAAGGGATGCTCTGTATTCTTGGAGCTTGGGGGGGGGCAACAGTGGGAGGGCTTTGAGTGTCCCGGCCCAACTGCTGGACCTCCTGAGGACACCTGGTGTTTCTGGCCACTGTGTGACCCAGAGTGTTGGAAGGGATGGGCCATTGGCCTGATCCAACAACAGGCTTCTCTTATGTTCTTATGTTCTAGGGCAGGGGTCTGCAACCTTTAAGACATAAAGAGCCACTTGGACCCATTTCCGACGGAAAAAAGAAACCGGGAGCCGCCGCGCACTCTCCCCTAGCCGAGCCGGCGCCGCGTGACGTAACGCCCAGGGCCGGACCCAGGTATTTTTGCACACTAGGCGAGGCTCCCTTCTGGCAGCACCTTGAGCCACGGGGGGGGGGACTTTGTGACCTGGCTGGGTCCCTCTCCCACCCACCCCCAGCTAGCCAGGCAGGCCGTGGTGCCCTGAGTGCCGCCGCCCACCCCCCCTCCCAAGATCAAGTCACCCCAGCTAGCCAGGCGGGCACCTGAGCACCCGTAGCCCACCCACCCCTCTCGAGATCATAAGAACATAAGAGAAGCCAATGTTGGATCAGGCCAAAGGCCCATCCAGTCCAACACTCTGTGTCACACAGGGGCCAGAAATACCAGGGGCCATCAGGAGGTCCAGCAG